GCCCCCCCCGCCCCCGCCGCCACCGCCGCCACGTTTTCAATCCCCACAGCAAACACCGACTACCACACGACCGTGATCCATCAGAAATTAATTATTTCTTCTAGAGTCGATCGCGCTAGTTTTCTTCTTTGCTTTGCTTTTTTATCGCTCGTCAGACACGGAGACAGCACTGTATTTTTCGGATCTGTACAATTTTCGGACGTGTCGAAAATTTGTTAATTATCTTTTACAGGTTCGACTGTCTCGAGCCGAGGAGGAGGAGCAACGAGTGATACGATTTCCAATTCGGAGCAGATATTTCTAGTTTCGCGAAGAACGTTTCAAGTAATGCAAATAAACGAAATATTTAATATTCATCCCTCGAATATTTTTATCGTTCACTTTTCTTTCTTTCTTTCTTTCTTTCTTTCTTTCTTTCTTCGTAATACAAGTCTGACGAACTTCCCGCGGGATTTAGAAAGATACATCTTCCAAGATGTCTCTAACGTTCTTGGTTTATCTTGCGGGGGAAGCATCTATCGGAAGCGCAGCTGAGAGAACAATCGTTAGAGTCGAAAATACAAGCGCCGCTAAATTTACTCCTCCGCTTCAAGCCACTCCATGTGCCAGAAAAAATGCGTCTGGGGTTGTTTCTTCTTTGCTCGATCGAGGAAAGTACAATTGAGAAAGAGTAACGGTAAAACTAAATGAAAAAAAGAACGGAGCGAAATGAATGTTTCCAAATGAAACAGCTTTACAAAAAAGGACGTCTGCAGACGGTAAGGCAATTTAACAATAAAGTCTGGCGCCTTCGGCACCAGCCCCCCGCGACTTGGCTTCCTACTTATTAGATTACTTTAGACCTGTACGTACCTGCCCTCGGGAAGGGTACAGGTGAAGTCATTCAATAGGTGTTTACTATTTTACTATCGTAATGACGGCGTCGCGGTCTGCTGCGTTCGGATAATAGTGGAAATTCCTCAAGTTTCCATACTCTTAAAATTCCCACCTTCGTTTTCACATCTCTCGTTCGACATAGGTGCATCGGAGGTGAAAAAAGGAAACAGAAAATATTCAATCCTGTCCACCCTCGGTACACCGCTAAAGTAAAAAACCTGTCCGGCCCAATCAGGATTAGATCGATCATAATAGGATGAGGTTTCACGGTGAATTGAGATCGGCACAGTTTTAAAAAGCCACCCACCCTCTTAAACCGCGCACCCCTTCCGGCGATGAGGGGGGCCATATTGTATTGGATTAAATTAAGCGGGGAGGCAGGCGTGGGGGGAAGGGCACGTCTACGATACCGCGCGCATTATGCGCGCAAAACTTGTGTGCCAAGTGAGTCGTGTTTTAGGGAGACTCAAGAAGAGGGGGAGGGTGGTAGCCACCGAGCATGTGACCCGTGTCACCTGCATTTCTGCGCGACTCTCTCCTTTCTGCCTATTCGACTGAAATTTCACTGGCCGAGCATCGGCGTCGATGAGCAACGGGAGAGGCAAACGCGATCGGAGGATAAAGGAATATCGAGACGAGAAGGCGACCCGATGAATTGTGACTCTTAAAACGAAGCAAACAGTAGCCACCTAATGTGTAAATAGGAACCCGAGGACAGGGTTGGTCCGTAATGGTGTTGCAGGGTATGTATTCGGTCGGCACGTGTCGCGTTACAGAGTCCTCGAGAGGACAGGAGCAATATGTCGGCGGCACGTGACCGAAGCGACGAAATTTTCACCGCAACGCAACACATATCGGAACGTGCCTTTACACGCATCTTCGTTGTTAATTGAACAACCTCGTAAATGAAACGAAATCCGGCACTGGCGAGCAACCAGCAGTACCTATCTCCGATGATTCCCGACGAATATTAATAATACATAAGCCAGTGTCTCGTTGGAAGAGCTATTAGGGACAGACTTTTGACACTTGCAGAACCGAGACGAATCACCTTTACGATTACCTCCCCGCAAAGCCAACCATAACTCAGCCTTCTTGCGTTATGTAGAATCTCGTAAAGGGGCGCTGAACAATAAGATTTGTTACGTCTCTGCGTACGTCGGAAGGGGCCCCCACGAGTCATCCTCGATTTCGCTGCTGCACCTACTGAAAACACTTGCCGCCTGCCTGATGCGAACCCAACTATTACAATTCAGACGAAGTAACATTTTCCAAAGCTCCGCGACCAAGAGAAATGTTATTGGAAACGAAAGGTTTGCAAGGCAAACACAACACGGCGTTCTTTGTTGGCTTACGTTGAGCACCGGAGGGAGGGGCGATAATACGTAGATGATAATCGCGATATTAATATCGCATTGGGAAGCGCGCACATGCGTGCAAGGGCCCATTGGTCACGGAGGAACACTTGCTCGCTGGCTGGCTCGCCGCGGTTCTTTCAATGCACCCTGATTTTAGAAAGAGACAACCAGAGGGTGGAACCCCAAACTCGGATGCGGGCAGAAACTGAAATTTGCCCGAGAGAGAATATTGAAGAATATTGCAATCGTACTTCTGGTAGAAGAATAATCCGACTAGCGGACGGGGGAAAGCAAGATTGGGAAAAGGTTGGATGCGAATGTCCGCCGTGGCCAGGGCGTTTAAGGGGTTCGGAACACTTGCGCATCGAAACACTCGTGCTCGAGTTTCGAGGGACCAGGAGAGGGGTTGGTGTGCGAGGGATGGTGCAGCTTGTGAACACTCGTGTCATTCCCTGGTCCGGCACCATTCACCCTGGATGAATCACTTCACCCATAGAGGAGATCCACCAAGAAGGAACCATGCCGTCCTCGCTGGTTCTCCTTCCTTTTAATTTCGTTAACGTGGCTTAAATGTAGGACAGGCAATCGTAGAAACATTAAGCGGGGTAATGCCTTTATCTGAAGCGACCAAGTTCCGTCCTTAAATTTCAGTTTCGGCATAATGACGCTAGAAGTCCTTAAAGGAGAATTAGATAAAGATCGGCGTATTAGCTCGGGGAGCGACGTAACTCTCCGATTAGTCGATCGGTACTAGCAATTAGCACAAGAGATACCTGCAGCCTTCGCGTAACTGCGAACACTGTGCGAAGCAAAGATTAAGCAGCGGCTCGTTAGACCCGCTAGGTAGAGAGACATTTTCCAATTTGAAAAGGTGGACGTGCGTCGAGCCACGTATTTTCCGAACTATTAACGAAATTGGAAATTTCCATAGGTCGAGATCGAGGAACGATTACGGAAATCCTCGGCGATATCGTTCGTATCGGCTCATCTGCGCACGCGTGCGAGAAGAATGAGCCACTTAATTTCCTAATCAACCGTTGATTCAGATGCACCTTTCGACAGCATCCCCCGTACTCGAAGGACGCGTTGGTTTGCAGCTGAGCCAAACAATGTCCTTTCACATGAGGCTTTTATAGCCCCATCAAACACACCGAACCACGCCGCGCCACGGCTGGCTCTCCTGGTGACGGCTGCGCGCGACCTGTGCTTTTAACGCTGTAACGTTCGAAACGACGTGTAATAAGTAATAAAAAGAAGAAGGGTTCCTGCATCTTACTACGAGAACTACGTCACGGTCCGGTAGCCGCGAAGAATGTGTAACCGATAGGTATTAAAAGCGAGCTCTTGAAATGGGTCAGACAATCCGGCGCCAAGAAAACCACCACCGTCCTCCCGGCCCTTTTACTACTCATTCCTATAGCGGATACTCGGGCTCGGTCACGCATCCGCGACTACACCCTTGTACCTGCAACGAGACAAGTTCAATTAGCCCCGACACTTTTATTGTCCGAAATGTGTCTCGAGATCGAGAGAGACAATTAGTTTGAAAATAATCGACGCGCGCAACCACTCGGGGATATCGTTAAACGACAAACTGCTAGAAAACGTTTCTTCTTCAAACCTATTCCTGAAAAATCATACCTTTTGCCAAACGATTGCCGGTCACATTTCAGAGAAGGAAAGGAGAGGTGCCGGCACGTTACACCTTGCGCTATGTTGTTCGCCGAAACCCGTACAATCCCCTCCCAGTTAGCCACAGTTAACCACCACACCCCGCCCTCTGATTGGTAGCGCATCAGGATTCGAGAATCGCAACCACGAGGGCTGAGTTACCCCTGGCCAGCTCTTTAAATACAATTACACGTATACTCGCCACGACGGAGCCAGGGTGCAAGCTAGGTAGAGGGGAGCGGGTAACTAACCCCCTAGTAGTCAATTCGGGGCACGAGTCCGTCGAATATATTTAAGCCACGTGCGGAATACAGGTCGCACTCAGTTGACACCTCGACATCGTGTTACAATCATCGACTTTCGCGATTCCTCCAAGCCGAAGAAAGGAAGAGCAAGAGGAAGAACTGGTATGATCGTGAAAACATTTGATACGGACCGGCCCAAGTGAAAATTCCAACGTTCCGAGTAAAGCAGATATGGATTCGTCGAAAGCGATCTTGTTCCCTGTGATATCCGAAAATACGCTGATGAAGAACATCGAGGCCCTCGAAAGGAATTCTCTGACGCAAGGGTGCATAAGCAGACCGATAGTGAGGGCTGCTGGAGTCCTCGGGAGGGACTGTTCCACCGAGATCATCGACGTGAACAAACTGTCCCAAAAGAGCACATCGGTGATACAATATGTACGTAGCGTAGAAAGTATAATCTCTAATCTCTTCTCTCGGAAGAATATTCGATTGATCGATTGGTCGCACACAGGTCGAGGTTGCTGAAACGGAAGGTCGGCTGTATTGCGTGGACGGTCTCGTGAGTACGTCTTGCTGGTTGAAAATCGTCACGTTCGCCAAGGATTGTCAAAGCTGCAACGTTCTTCTGATGACCACCGAGAAAGGAGTGATGCTGAAGACGATAAGAATCGTAACTCCAGGCGAACCGTTGCTGATGTGGTTCACCGAGAATATTTTAGCTATGCTGAACATGCCGTTCCTCACACCGTCCAACATTCAAGGTAAGAAAGAAAGAAAGAAAGAAATAATCCTCCACGCCTATATTTCTATCAGTTGCAAAACTGAGAGGCTAAGTAAGACTGGACGTGTGTATCGGGGTTTCAGGTCAGAACCGTTACATCTGCCACATGTGCAACAACCTGTTCGAGTACCCAAATCCTTTGAAGATCCACCTAGCCCTAAAGTGCAATCGACTGGACGCTAATCATCTTTGGTCCGTGCTGGCGAAAGAGTTCAGTTTGTCGCCGAGACCGAGCCTGTCTCTCAGCCTCTTCCCCCAATCGACTTTCAGATTCGAACTGACCAGATCACCGCAAACTTCGCCCAACAGGATATCCCCGATAATAGTCGAGACCATGGATTCCAGTGCCTCCGTGACGAACAACGATTCGCCAAATTCCTCCAATCAACCCTCGCCTAATTCCTCCTCCACGCAAATTTCGCCCAACTCCTCCACGCAAGTGTCTCCCGTGAGGAAAGACACGGGTTACAGGCAGTCCGCTTTCAAGCCGTACGCGAACCAAAGCAATTTCTTCGCCAATGTCTGCCCGCTGACGAGGGACGAGAACGTCGTGACGTCGTACAACGTTCAAACGACCGCTGCACCGCTCTCCACGGACGTACACGCCGCACACATGGAAACGATAGTCAGCAATCTTGGGAAATCGAAGCAAGGACACCTCTGTATCTACTGTGGAAAAGTCTACTCGAGGAAATATGGGCTTAAGATTCACATCAGGTTCGTCGTACGTCCGTTCGCCTCTATCTTTCGCTCGATTCCAATTTCACTGTCTTATTTTTCTCTCTGTTCCGTTTCCAGAACCCATACTGGTTATAAACCGCTCAAGTGCAAGTATTGCCTACGACCGTTCGGAGATCCTAGCAATTTGAACAAGCACGTTCGATTGCACGCCGACGGTGAAACGCCCTATAGATGCGAACTGTGCGGAAAAGTGTTGGTTAGAAGGAGAGACCTTGAGAGGCACGTGAGATCGAGGCATCAGGAGAACGTGGAACAGACTTCGGACACGTCGTCAGACGGAATCGACGTTTAGTTGAAACGAACCAATTAGGTAACTGTCTTCGATACGAAAGACAGTTTGCTCGTAGCTGTGAGCCAAGTCGTCCGCGAGGTCGAACATCGTTCACCTTGTACATTTTTACCGGGGCCAATGAAATAGCCTTAGAGTCGGTCAGTCTTTTTCACGACCGAACGCTTTTCTCTATACGTATAGTAGATCGAAATACCTCGATTATTTTTCCAACCTTTCACTGTAAATATGGAATTAGAATAAGTAGTTTCGAATAGCAACAAAATTGTCCTTACTGTGTTTCTGAGTTCTCGATGACAGACCAATTTTCTAATCGTTAGTTGTACATACTTACTTTCGCAAATCTTTCGCAAGCGATTCCGATGAAAATATTCACGAAGGAAATGTGTGGTTGTGCTTACCATCGATCTGATAATCGTTCGTTAAAAGTATCGGTACAAACGCAGACTAAAATCTACATTTCTACGCTTTCAAATTTTAGATGTAAGATCGTTGTTATCTTAGTGTGTAGACGAGATATTAAAATAAAATTGTTACTTTATATTTCTTTTTCTCCGTTGTTCGATATCTATTCCCTTGCATCGCAACGTCATTTGTAACTAGAAAAGTACCAATCTTTTATTGAAATATGTAAATTTAAATAGTAAATATTTACTATTAAATATCTACACTTCCGTACAATGTGTCCCCTTTATTCAAACCAACTGATTTAAAATCAAGAGGGCACTACCGAAGCATTCTGTTTCGAACGCCATCGTATGAGCGTAATACAAACCTGCTTCTCGTCTGCACTATAGAATTGGTATTCTTTGCATTTGATTTCGTCTACCAAGTGCTACAGTGACCGACACCAAGTTCTACTTCTATCTGTGAAAGTTGCTATAACTTAATTGTTCAGTGTACGATATTTAAAATACAGGTAGAGCGAGCTTATTGAACTTGCAGCCGGAAAAGCTATGTTTAGTTGCTTTTTCATATATCTTGCCTCTTTAACGCGGTCAGTTATAAAAGATGGGCGACACATGTAGTTCGAAGTGTGACGTAACCACATCTGGTTGTTGTTAATTAACGAAATGTTACACAAAATTTTCATACAACGTTACGTAAAATTTAATAAATAGTCTTTTTCTTATTGTAGCACGTCAAAATGGCTACCCTTGCACGCAGTTTACGCCCTTTCTTAAGGTATGCTCGTAATCAAAGAAGAACTTTCGCAGACGCAGCACCCGTTAGCAATGAAATGATATTTACGTTTGCTGGAGCTAATCAGGTGCGAATGAATATGTCACTCGTTTACATGCATGTCCCCCTTCGAACTTCAAATTTTCTCGGCTTATTTCAACTTGTTTCAGGTGTTCTATGATCAAACTGTAATCAAACAAATAGACGTACCATCGTTTTCCGGCAGTTTTGGTATTTTACCGAAACATGTTCCTACATTGGCTGTATTAAAACCTGGTGTGGTCACAGTACACGAAGAAAGTGGAGATGTCAAGAAAATTTTTGTTTCTTCGGGGACAGTTACTATAAATGAAAACAACACTGTACAGGTACCTGTTTAATATACCACGCTCTCGCGTTATTCTGGATGTTATTGAAAATACTGAAAAAAACATTCGTATCTGGTAGGTTTTAGCAGAAGAAGACAAGATCTTTCGTCTGCGTCGTCTGATCAAGACAAAGCTGAAGCAGCTATTGCGGTTGAAGTTGCAGAAGCCTTAGTAAACGCTTTGCAATAAACATTGGACAGACATTGTGTATATGTTAAAATATTACTTTATGTATTGTTCAATTTTTTAGGGCATGTATCTGCCGTGTTTCTCTCATGCTTCTGTATGAGGATACAGTAAGAATAAAAAGATTATTAAGTTATACATACACATATGTACATATAACTGACTTCGTCACAAAAAGAAAATAACAACAATACGTAACTTTATGTAATAATTTATTACATGTTAGTAAAATTTCGTAACACAAATTATTCTCGTGTGAAACGTATTCGGGTACATCGATTTTTGTTGCTGCGTTTAACAAATATTTCTAACAGTCTCAAAATTTTGCACATTTCAATTATGCAAATGTTGCGATTCAATTTTTCAAACAATTTACAAATCTATGCACGTTTAGTAGCAAATAACAATTTAGCATTAGTTCTTAGAAATATCTTGTCACACTCTAATAAAAGTTAAACATCACTTTTTTTTTTTCTTTTCTTAATTTTTGTACATTAGAAGACAATTGCTAAACAATAAATATTTTATTTCTTTTAACCATTAACATGTTTAGTACATTGCACACACGCGCACATAATCGATATCTTCGATTAAGATAAATCGATTCTTTCTTCTAAAACCACATAAATTGATAAACATTATTGACTCGAAAAATTATATAAATTCAGGTATTGTTCAACCATTTTTATATATATATATATATATAACAATGATATCTGTATAATATTTGTATATTAAAAGCATGTTATGTTCATTTATTTAATATACAAATATCAAAATTTGGCATAACGTTTGGAAAATATATCTCTATATTCACACATTTATAGACATTACTCTCTTACTATCGGCATATAATTCTTTCGTGTGATGCAGCGATAAAACTTTTCCTCTCTATAAACTATGCAACAGTAATGTGTAATGAAAAAATTTTTAAGTAAAAAAATCTACAAATACATTGACACGCGGTAAAATGTATAATAACATTTACATATTGCATCTATATAACAAAGTCTCTTGAAATATAGTACAGGTATGTACATACAGTCCCATACTCTCAATTTCTCCTAGATAAAACTTTTAAAAATTCATATTTATAAGAAAAACTGCGTTTGTAGCTAAATCTAAACTTTATACATCGTGATAAATAACAAATCCTTATAGAATATTTATGCAAAAATATGTTTCTTTCAGCATGACTAGTAAACCATTTGTTTCATTGGTTTTTTGTTAACTGGTATTTCATTTACAACAATTACGATTGAATACTTTTTGCAATTGTTGTAATGTTTTCAAACAAATCACAACACAACAAGACCCACAACCACCGGGCTCGTTGTCACAAAAACATTCGCTTTGCAAACAAGATACGAAATCATCTACCACTTTCGATGACACGTGCTTTTTATTCACTTCTGCAATTGTACTACTTGAGCAATTTTGACAATTTCCCAGGTGATCACATTTACAATCGATACATTTACATATGTCTGCTTCAGCCGTGATCTCCTGCAGAATATTTCTACTCTTTTTTATTTTTAAGCTATCTTCGCTTTCTTTATCGTTGTCGTTATCGTTATCGTTATCGTTCTTCTGACAATGTGTAACTTCGGTACACTTACCAATGGTTTCTACGTCTACCAAATTTACGTTATCCACTTGTTGTAACGGCTGTAACTGACTTTCTATCTGTAGTGGATATGGTTCTGGTTCGACTAGATCGACCAACGAATGAACCGCCGTTGGAAAAGCGTTCAATTCTGACCAAGACTGCCTTCTCAACGCGGATGGAGTTGCCAATGTCATAACGTCTGTCCAAGGAGAAGGTATTTCCTCCTCAGACGCTATAGCGAGTTCAATAGCCTCTGACTGCGTAGTTGCAACAACGTTAGAATTCAGCGACTGTTCAACTTCGTTAAGGGATCCAGTTCTTAAACTATCGTTGATAAATGGTAAATTTTCTATCTCACTATCGAACAGTTGAGTCTCGTTAGAGGAACTAATTATATTTGATACATGACTAGCAACAGAATTACCGTTGTACAATGTCGCGTTACTGTTTTCACCAATTGTGTTTACATTCGGTTCATTATTGTAACCTTTCTCAACAATGGTCGTGCCATTTTCATATTGTTGCACATTACTTGTAAACCCTGTCTCTTCTGATATGTGGGCAATAGTGTTCTGCAACCCATCTTGTATAATTTTTTGTTCCAAGTTCATCGAATTCAATTTTTTTATATTATTCGCCCTGCTCTCTTCAGCATCCGTCGAAGGATTAGAAGTATATTGTTGATTTTGATCCCGTTGTAAATTTGAATCATTTACCTGATTGAATATTTTAAATTTATCGTAATCGTCGTTATTATTAAAATTACTGATTGTATGTTCGCTAAAATTATTTATAATAATATTTTCCGATGAAAGAACAGTCACATCTGCGGATTCATTTTTGTTTTCTGTATTTCTCCTAGTAATGTTATAATCAAGTTCTTTGCTAAGTCTGTCTTGGCTTAAGATATTCATCATATCATTTGTAGAAGTTGACTTATCACTTGGATTTTCTATGGATAAATAAGCTATACTTTCCTTACTTTCTACATTACTAGAGGATAATAATGGTATAATGGTATAACATGGCACATTTGCATTCCTTGATGTTATCTCGTCAACATCAATTTTTGCTTCCAACATCTCGTTATTTCTTTGGCTTCTGTAATCATCCCGATTCCTCTCGTTTTTCTATAAGAAAATAGTATAACAACATAATACAAACATTGAAAGATATGTAACAGTTGCACAAGATCTTCAACATACCGTTTCATCGTTGTTAACCGACCTCCTATGAGTTTTCAAGTGGCTCTTTAAACTATGAGGTGTAGTAAACGATCGTTTGCAGTTTCCGAAGGTACACACATAAGGTCGTTCTCCCGTATGTGTCCTCTTATGTGTTTTCAAATGATGCGACGCTGTAAATGCTTTACCGCATCCCAGTTCCCGACATCTAACAAATTAGTAAAATTATTTATGCTTAAGTGAAAAAGAAAATCGGTTGAAAAACACCGAAGAACATACTTGTAAGGTCTTTCTTGTGTATGAGTTCGAATATGTTTCTTGAGATCACTTAAAGTAGTGAAAAATTTAACACATCCAGTCTCGTCACAGTTAAATGTGTTACCACTGTGAAGTCTTTGGTGAGCTCTCAGTCTGTAAAGGGTATTGAATGCTTTCTCACAGCCTTTGTGTTTGCATTCAAATGGTTTCACTTTTGTGTGTACCCTAATGTGAATCTTAAGGCTGTACGACGTAAGAAAGGCCTTGCCGCAACTTGGTTCTGCACATTTAAATCGATACTCGCCTGAAAGTTTTGAGAATTCCCTCCACGTAAAAAGTTTGCTGGGCTACCTATTGCTCGCAGTATCTGAAAGCCATGCAGGTCGAAGCGTTCCCTTTATACCAGCGGTGATTTTATAACGAATAAAGAGTGTACAGAAAAAGTTTGTAAAGCACAAACAGATTCTCTATATGCTTTGATTCATTAACAACATGATTTATAACAACAATGATAGCACTTCATAAGCTTACCTTGTTTCCTTCAATCTTAGCAAGATTGCAAACAAGAAATGAATAGATTAGTATATGTTATAGTGTAAGCACAACATGCAAAGCACATAATAATGCAATATTATCACAAATAACCATAACATAAACAATCATGAGATATTCATTCTAGTGCTTTACACTGCTATGAGCATGAAATAAAATTACTATGATATACTGTAACTAAAACGTGTTTTATTGACACAGAGTTAGTAAAAATTAATATATGACAATATGCCACGATAGACAAGATATTTATAAGCCTATAATATCTCTTTTTCTCATAGTAGGAGTTATATTTAAAAAACTTTACCTTTATGTGTTTTCATGTGGGTGCGTAAATTTCCAACTGTACTGTAAGTTCTGTTACAACCCTCGTATTCACAGGTATAACGACCAATATGTTTTTGGTTTGTATCTGGAACTGTGCTTTCAATTGTAATCGTTGCATGTGAAGTTTCACTTGTTGAAATATCATCTTGACCAGAATGAATACGCATATAAATTTCATGAGGGCTAATTGTATGATGTATTGACCTATAATAATGTCTTTGTAGATGCATATGTATACATGTAGATGTATACATGTATGAGTGTGTATATTTGCTTATTTCATTTTTTAGAATTTCATTTACAGAAGTATAAATTCAAACTTTCAATTTACAAGACGCGTGTTTGTTGTACTAATAAACACATGACATGTAATTCCAAGTATGAGTAACACATGGTTGAATCTATTGTTACTTATGACTACTGAGCTAAATTTATAACATACTAACACTGTGTTCCTTTAGTCAATATTAAAAAACAAATATAAATTAATCAAATGTTTAATATTAAAAAGCAACATTACATATCCAATATTACACATATTAGCAACATTATCGATGCAGACATTGCTCTTTTATATATGTACAAATGACAAAATATTAGTGGCAAAACATCAGTTATAAATTATACAAACTTATTGACCTAGTAATAAATATAAATTGTCAAATATAAGACATAAATGTTAAATATTATACAGTTAAATACATTTTAAAAAAATCATCTACATGATACGGCAATTTGACACTTGTCCGATAAATTTACATATAATATGTCAAAAATTACAGGCCTAATTTCAAAATGTGTTATATCCTTATAAGGATGGGATACAAAATACTGTTTGCTATATGAACGAACAGGTTATGAATAATTTATATCTTATCGACTGGTTTGCCCTTTCTCAACAAACAGTTAGCGCGGGAGACATTTTTATTATGCAGATGAGGTAAAACATGAAAAATTTGAGTGATCTTACTCCGTAGTATTGTCATTAGATAGTCTTTCGTCAATCGGAGTATCGTCATCGGAATACTTTTCATAACCAAACACAGCACTCTGTTCATAAACTTTTTCAAAGTTAGTTAAATCTAAACTATCGTCTAGACAATCCTGAAGATCATGTGTCACGAGAATGTTATCAAAGTTTCCTAAAAAAACCGATCTCCCGAAATTTTCCACCTTCCCACGTCGCCATACTTTTCCTAGCTGTGCAAACAAATCATGAGATAACTTTAATGTAGATGTGCAACCAGATCCACTAAAATTTTTCGAAGCAGCTCGATCGATATGTTACATATTCCCTTATCGTCAAACATACAAAACAATTAGTTTGTTTCTTCGGTAATTATTAAAACATTATGTTTGTAATGCGTTTTACAAATAATTAATGTTGTTACCGTGAGATAAAAATATATTGAAAAATGTACACTCTAATTAACGAGCTCTCATAAAAAAAGATTTATTAGGTGAAAATAGTTTTGATAAGGAATTCAAAACTGCAATACCATAGATAAGATACAGGCACAAACGAGGTACAGGATAGACTTAACATCTGATGCAACTTTCCGTCCACGGCACGGGGGCCGAGAAGACCCTTACCACTTTCATGTTACACCCAACGTTTCCGATGGATTATTCTATAATTAAAGTACTTCAAAATATGCCATAAACTGTATTTTACTATGTAAATTATTAGTAATGTTCAAGCAATAAGATGTACGTATCAATTAAATATAATAGGGATGACGAGGATAGCACTAAAGAAATTAATAAGACAAGGAAAGCAATAGGGATAGACAAGGACGGAAAATTTGAAAAGTCAAACTCCCGCCATCTCCCGTATGGTGACGCGAACTACGACTTTTTAATAGGAACACAGAATATCAACAGTGGTTTTAGACAAAGAACGCACTAGTGTGCGACAAGGACAGAGAGAGAACGTTTCCTATTGGCTGGCGGGCCGCCATACTCCACCTCCCACGGGCTAATCAAGTCGGTCAGGGAAAAATCATTAATAACTCAATAATTACGATGATTTTGTGAACTTTTAGAATTGAAGAATGAAGTCTGGACCTTCGGCAACTTTCTCATATAGCTTTTAGTTCCCTAAACACTCTGTATAATTAGTTATTAACAATTTTAGTACGGGTTGTCGGCAAATGTAATACGGAATACTAAACATCCTGCTTGTTTTTCATTAATTTTGCAACTTTACACGAATAATTTATGCACTTTCGTATATGCATTCGAAAGATCATCCCTTTAGCTAGTTTCTCATATAAATTTTAATGTACCAGACCCTTACGATAATTAGTTATTAATAATTTTAGTACGTGATATCGGAACGATATCACATATCTTGACGGTTTTTCAATAGTTTCGGAGTTCTCTCCTAAATTCTCATACAACTAATTGTATTCATCTGAAAGGCAACTCCATTAGCTATATTCTCATATAATTTTTATCAACATATTCGGTTTAGTTTAGGAGTTATTAAACATTATACGAGACAGTCCCCTATTTATCGTACTCGAGTATCGTCAACTGTTACAAATAATTGCTAATATCTAATAAACCACACCACTTACGGTTACCAAACTAATTGCAGAAGATAAATAAAAGTCCATTCTACATTCTCCATACGTCAAAGTGCATGATTAGTCACGCATTTCTATGGAAATAACGAAAACGTGTTACGATTGAATGCGACGGGTGTAATACTCTTCCAAAGAATGTTTAATAACTATTAAACTAGAGGGAATATGTTAATAAATATTATACGAGAATGTAGCCGAAAGAGTTGCCTTTCAGATTCGTATAGTTACTTGCACGAGAATTTAGTAGAAAGCTATGAAATTATTGAAAAACCGTCAAGATACTTGACGGTATGCGGTATCGTTCTCGACGTCACGCACTAAAATTGTTAATAACTAATTATCGAAGGGGTCTATTGCATTAAAAACTATATGTGAAAGTAGCTAAAAGTCCACGCTACATTCTTTAAACCTAAAAGTTCACAAAATCATCCCAATTAAGGAGTTGCTGATGATCCTTCCCTGACCGACTTGATACAGCGCGTGGGAAGTGGAGCTGGGCGGCCAGCGGACCAATAGGAAACGTTCTCTCGCTGTCCTTCTCGCACACTAGTGCTTTCCTTGTCTAAAACCTCTGTTTATATTCTGTGTTCCTATTAAAAAATCGTAGTTCCCGTTACCATACGCGAGATGGCCTTTAAAAATTTTCTGTCCTTGTCTACCCTTGTTTCTTTCCTTGTCTAACTCATTGCTATAGTGCTATCCTTGTCTACCGCTATTCGTCTCCTTGTCTCTCTCCGCCATTGCTATTCTCGTCATCCATATTATATTTAACGGATACTTATAATCAAGTCTTAATTGCTTTAACATTACTAATAACGTAGACAGTAAAATACAGTTTCTGGCTTACTTTCAAGCACTTTAGTTGGCGAATAAATAGTGCTCGTTGTTAAATTCCAGTTTAGATGGTAATTTATAATTATAGGAAGCCTTAAATAAAAGTATTCTATGGTACAACATAATAAAACAGCTTAATATACGACTTTTGCATTGAATTAACCATTATATTAAGTAGAATAGTGTGAAATTGTTTATAATTTTTATTAACAATTAGAAAAGTTAATGTTCTTTCGTATGAGTTACAGATGAACCTCCAAGGACACAAACGCATTCCTGGGGGTTTCTGGCATTAATTTATTCAAATTTTGCAATGCAATATTGTTTAAACAATGGGTGTTTTGCAAAAGGAAAAGGATTTGGTGTGTAAAGGAGAAGAAAATGGACTGTAAAATGCTGTAAAACAATAATGAAATATTGTAACCATTTGTAATATACATTTTGTACATTAATTCAACAATAAATAATTGTTCTTTTGATAAATAATTGCATTTCATCGTTTTTGCTGATGTACAAGTCCTTTCCTTGATTTCTGGAACGTCCATCTGTAATTCATGCGAAAGAACATTAATTTTTCTAATTTTTAATAAAAATTATAAACAATTTCTGACTAATCTATTGAATACAATGGTTAATTCAATGCTACAATAGTATATTAAGCCCGTTTTATTATGTTATACCTTACGATACTTTTATTTAAGACTTCCAATAGTTATAAACAATCATCTATATTTTTATTTAATAAGGAACGTGAATTATTCTATGGTGAAAGTACTTCAAATGAAGTTGAAGCTTTATGTTATTATCTACATATTGGTAATGTTGATGCAATTAAACATTTATCATATACATCAAGTTTGATCTACTTAGTACATATAATTATGCTCTAATTTACAATAAATATTATTGAAAGCCGGAAACAGGTCGCTAATTTGTAATTTCCCGGCGAATGACAATTTACTGATAACGAACTTTTTAGAGGTCGCCACGTCTGTACATGGAATTATATATAATAATGCCAGCGAAGCAGCTGATCGTATTTTATGAATTGTAAAGTGTGTTTGTGTATCCCCTAATCAACATGGTCTCGAAAAAACCACCACGAATTCTGTCAATACAAAGTCACGTAGTGTCGGGGTACGTTGGCAATAAAAGTGCAACATTCCCCTTACAGGTGAACACATCGTTCATATTGTTAAATTATACTACGGAACGCGTTGTATGATAGATATCACCTTATCATATTTATTCAGTTAAGTACCCATATCTTGAAACTTCGAGACCTATTTTCATTTAACGCATATTCATTTCACAATTTTAAAAATTAATGCGCCCATAGAATTATATGCATCATTTTTTTTCGAAGAGGAAAATATTTAAAGTAATATCTAATAATATGTAGCATTTTGAAAAATGATTTATAAATGTTTTGGTATATAATAAAAAATATACAATAATAACATTTTTTGTTTAGCTGTTAGGATTTGAAATAGATGCAATTAATTCTGTTCAACTTTCCAATCATACAGGATATAAGGTCTTCAAAGGTCAGGTATTAAATGATAAAGATTTAGGTAAGAAAGATTTTGTAACAAATATAAAAGATAAAAGGAATAGCTATCTAAAACTAATTATTTCTGCATTGTATGTTATTTATGATTATTTCTTAGAGGATTTAATAGATGGTTTGATATGTAATGACTTGCATGATTATACTCATTTGTTGACTGGATATGTTGGTTCTGTCTCATTTCTGAAAAAGATAGCAGAGGTGGTCTGCTTACTAAAAAGCAAAAATCCTAATCTCATATATGGTAAATAGATATAAAAATCTGGAATAATAATTAAAAATACAATCTCATATTAATCATGAATTTATTAATGCAAGTATGTGATCCTGTTATGGGAGATAATGGACAAATGTACGTACCTGAAGAACTAAAGGAAATTTATAGAAATGAAATAGTACCATTGGCAGATATTGTAGTACCAAATCAATTTGAATTGGAGTAAGTTTTACAATTTTACAAGTAATTTTCACAAAACAAATACAACTGACATCTCGTTAATTGTTTTGCCCTTAGATTATTAAGTAATATCAAGGTCAATACAATGTCTGAATTAAAAAATGCTATAAAAGAATTGCATAATATTGGTCCTGGAACAGTAGCAATCTCATCAACAGATATTGATGATAAATTAACAGCAGTATTTAGTACAACCAAAGGTAATAAAACAATGAAATTAATATTTGAAATAAATCAAATTTTTTAAAATATATCTAACTCATTTTGATTACAGATAATAAACTGATAAAGATCGACATTCCAAAAATACCAACTAATTTCACAGGTTCTGGTGATCTTTTTGCTGCCCTATTTTTAGCTCACACATATTTGGAAGATAATATGGAAGCTGCCATTGAGAAAACTGTGAATACTTTACATAGTGTTCTACTCAAAACATATGAATACTCCCAAGGTATTTATTTAAATAATTTCCTTGGGTAACGATATAAAAAAAGATAATAATCATTTTAAAAATATTCACTAGCATGCCAAAACAAGGACTCTCAATTTGCAAGAAGAATCGAATTATGTTTAATACAAAGCAAACGTTTCATTGAAAATCCAGAAATTCGTTTATTTGCTCAGTCTTTCTCGTGAATAAATTAAATTGTTAAAAAAAAAATAGTATATACATATATATGTATATATATATACTACCGATAACCATGATATCCTCTAATATATTGCATATATATTGTGCATTACAGTCTTCCAATGAAAAACTAGTTCATACACTTTTATGAATAACGAAATATATAAATTGTATAGACCTTAATAATGTATAAGTTACTTTAAATGTATAAAATTATTCGCAATAGTTTTTTAATGTTAAACGAGGTACGATATTCATCGACTGAAGTTCTTGGAAAAGTAATTTGCAAGCGTAGGGCATGGAAATTGTAGAAACACACGAACTGGAACGGCAACTGTGACACCATCCACTATATGCCATCAAACCGCATTTATTGCATACATCAACATCGAATGTATCACTGGATATCATGAGTCTCTCTATCAACATCATACTAGCACCATATCCAATTAAACAATCTCGCTCCATTTCACCTAATCGTAAACCTCCCTCTTTGGCACGACCTTCTGTTGGTTGACGCGTTAATACAGCTCTCGGTCCTCGAGCACGAGCATGCATTTTATCTTGTACCATATGTTTTAGTTTTTGATAATACACCTGTTTTTTTTTTTTTTTATTGTTTTTTTAAAGTAAATCCATAAAATAATCTATATATTGAATTAACTTGAAATTAAAGATTAGAATATTTTCAACTCACTGGTCCAGAATATATATACGCTTGCAATGGTTCCCCTGTAATACCAGAGTAAAAGAAATCTTTGCCCAAGTAATTGAAACCATGCTTCACCAATATTTCACAGACATCCTCAACTTTTGAACCTCCAAATGCTAAATAAAAATTGTTATTACAAATTACTGCTTTAAAAATTATTCCAAAGTAATTTATTGTAAACATACCTGTGCCGTAATGAAATTCTCCTTTTATAACACCAGCTTTTCCAGCAAGCAATTCTATTAATTTCCCGACTGTCATACGCGAAGGAAAACCGTGCGGATTCATAATCATGTCAGGACAAATGCCAAAATCGTTAAACGGCATGTCTTGCTCTTCCACAATTAATCCTGCACACAAGAATAAACAGTGATAAAATGTATTTATAAAATGAATTGTCAAAGTATTCAAGGACGTACCAGTTACACCCTTCTGCCCGTGGCGACTGCTAAATTTATCACCTATCTCAGGCCTGCGAGTTTGTCTTAATAATAATTTAATTAGAAATGCATCCTCTGCATTGCTGGAAATCATCACTTTTTCAACATAAGCAGGAACAGGACCTTTAAAAACAACTGGTACATCTTTGTATTCTGTTTGTGTTTGAACGTTACCAGAATTTACTGGACCGATATTTGCGGCAGGCGATGATTTATTTACCATTACCTATAGGAGAAAATCAAATGCAGATTATTTCTATTGCATAAACTTCATGTATTTGCTTATTAGAGTAAGTATTAATCTTTAAAATATGGACCTTTCTATTCTCCACCATTTCTCCAGGTGCAGCAATTCCATCGCTATCGATTATTTCATGTTTCCAAACAGATTTCTTTGTATTAGAATCAATCAATGGACCCATTATCCGATCATATGTCTGATTAGCGTATCTTTTTAATGTACATTTCGCGTTTCGATATATCAAACATCTTCCAAATCCTCTATCAATTGAGGCTTTATTTAAAATAAGAGCATCTTCAATATCGTAACCACTATAAGACATAACGGCTACTGTTGCATTTTGACCAGCAGGTAGTTTATCAAAATTTATCAATTCTATTGTTCTGGATTTTACCATCGGTGCTTGGGGATAGACTAAATTGTACATCAACGTGTCAATCCGATTGCGCTGATTATAACCAATAGTTCCCATTGCTTGTTTTCCCATAGCACATTGATACGTATTTCTTGGACTTTGATTATGATGCGGATATGGTACTAAACCAGCGCAAACTCCAAGTAATGTAAATGGTTCGATTTCCAAATGCGTTGTCTTTTCACTAATTTGCGTTTCGTTAAATGCAATGGAACTATCATTCTCTTCATTTACATCTAAATATTCTATGAAACCGTCTTGTAAGAAATCTTCGAAAATTCGTACTCCTTGTTCAAGGAACTTTATATGCTCATCTTGTACAAGAGGTTCACCATTCTGTACAATAATATAGGGTCTGCACAGTCGTCCTCCGTCGGAACTAATTTGAATACATCTATGTTGGTGTTGTGTGTATATAGAAACGAAACCATTTATGAGACCTTTTCTACGCAGTAACCTGAAAACATTTACTAGTCTCTGGTAGTTCTTCACTACACCCAGAATATTACCATTTAAAAATACCATGTAAACGTATCTATTATTGATTTCTTCTCCGCCAAGTATATTAACATTTTCTACTCCTAAGTTAAATGCTAATCTAATAATTGGTTCTTCATCAATTTCTGTAGTAATATGTGTCATAAGAGCCAAATTTTTTACTAAACCACAACCTTCACCTTCAGGAGTATCACTGGGACACAACATACCCCATTGTGATGGTTGCAAAGATCGAGGGCCGGATACTTTCCTAGTTTTTTCAAACTGTGAATTAACTCGCGTCATCATACCAAGTGCCGAAATATAAGAAAGTCTAGATAAGACTTGAGTAACTCCATGACGTTCCATTTTAAATCGTTTAATGGTCCAATTGCCAGATGATATGGCAAAAGCTAGTCCATTGGTAATTTGGTCTTGTCTCATATGTTTTACAATGTCAAATTGTGCAGCTTTAATTTTCGGTATATTTTTATCAGCAATTTGCTTTAACTCCCAATTAAATCTTTTAAATAAATCTTCAAACATCAAAGATAGCAAAGACCCAGCTAGTTCTAATCGCTTATTACCATAATAATCTCTATCATCAACAAGCTTTCCATCAGACTGTGCTTTCATAACTCTACGAATCATTAAAGCAATATAAGTTGCTTTCATTTTAAAATTAAAATCTACAACAGGAACATGAGATAAAACATTGGTTGCTAATGTATCCTTCATTTCGTCCGTGACGCTAGATTTTATGACGGAAAATCTTTTCTGTTTCCTCTTATTACTGAGGAACCTTAATGCTTGATTTTGAGCAAACACATTTAGAACATGACATTCTTCTAAGCTGGGTGCAAATTTTTTCATAAATTCTTCCTCTGTACCAATTAGTTGCATAATCTCTTGATCACTCACAATTCCCATTGCTTTAAATATTATTGTCACGGGTATATCCTAATAACATATTTAAAGTTTGTGAAATATTATGAAAAATTTCAGCGCATAATTATGTTAAACTTACATCTTGAAAAATGTTATGCCTCATATAATACCTTCCTCCTCTACCTACTATGTTAGTTTTAGTTTTTCTTTCATGAGTAGAACTGTTACAAGATGCTACAATATGACCTTTACTGTCCTCTTCTAAAATAATTCTGTTTCTAAGCATTTGTTCTTGTATTAGAATTACTTTCTCCTGGCCATTTATTATAAAATAACCACCAGGATCATGTGGACATTCGTTCATTTTTGCCAATTCGAAATGAGATTTCCCAGTTAATACACAATTTGAGCTTCTCAACATAATAGGCATTCTGAAAAAGACTAGCTAATTTAGTTTATCTTGTCTAGTTAATAACATTTCAAATATGTTTCAAATAATGCTTATACCTTCCAATTAATAAATTATTTCTAATTATTGGTTGGTGACCTCTTATATACTCAATATCAACAGTAATCGGAGCAGAATAATTTAAATCTCTTAAACGGCATTCATGTGGAGTAGTAGAACGTGTTACATTAAAACCTTCTTCGACATCAGGTGAACCAACATGAACATTTAAATATCTATAAAAAAATACGTGTACAATAAATAATGTAAAAACATATTTACATATAAATTAACAATACCTACTTTACATAAAACAAAGGATCAGCATCACTAAGTACTTTCTCATTTGCTTTTACAATTTTCTTGATCTCCACATTTATGAAATAATTAAAAGAATCAATGTGCTGTTTGACAAGTCCTTTTCCTTGCAGAAAAGCAGGTACAAGTTTCCATTTATCCTGTAAAAAGGTGTTGCTATAATTATTCACTTTACAATAAATTTAGCGGAATAAATGACACAAATTTTAACCTTTCTCTTACCTGAATGTGCTTTACTACTTTGTTATATTTTTGTTCCGATTTAATACTATCGTAAGTATTAATTTTCATTTCCCCCATCTTTTTTTATTTCTAAAAAATATAAACTTATCATATAGAAATGACAAAAAGTGAACTGAGAGATAATTTCACTGCTACATCTTCTTAACCTGTTTTGCGTCGTATTATTTTCGCGGTAATCTTGCACATGCATATAAAATAGTATAGGTATACATATATTAATAGTTAATAGAACAGGAGGAAATGAAGGGAAATGATATACAAATAATAAGATATATATGCATTTTATCGTATCTATAAAACTACGATTAAAAAAAGTTACATTTGATACAATTGATTGTACGCATAACATACTGTGTACGTAACATATGACACATAACACGTGTTAGATTCCTTAAATAAATTATTTGTAGGAGAAAGCATGTATTATTCTATATTTTGTATATCGTGTACTACATAAACGTATATTTTCATTTATATCTTTTATACAAATAATTAGACACTTTCCTTAATGTGTTAACGAATAACAAATTATTTTAACAACTTAATGAACATTACATGTATCTACAAAATATCATTATTAACATAAAAATATTTATATCAAAGTTCCATTAACGTTTATTTATGACTGCTTCTATTATTTGTAATGTATTATCGTTTATAAAGAATCAACTTTTTGCGTAATAAATGTAGCAAATACGTGCATATGTACGTTCATTTGAACGATAAATCTTATCACTTAATAGCGCTGTAGCAATCAGTAAGTATATTTACATCGTTTTTTAACTGCTAACATCGAGCACTGAATTATTACGTACAATTGTGGAAAATATTAGAACTTTATAAAATGAAAATTTATACTCATAAGTTCGCGAGATCACTTTTACAAAATTTTTCGAGATTAAACAATAAATTTCACGTAAGATATTCTTCACAATATTACAAGATAGATGATAATCTCTTCGGATTAAACGAAGAACAGAAAGAAGTAAGTAAAATTGTAACAGAATTAGGTTACTGTATGTCGTCAAGCTTAACAATTAAAAGCAAATTATTTTCTGTACAGCTTCGACAATTGGTTTTCAATTTTGCACAAAAAGAACTTGCTCCGAAAGCCGCTGAGATCGATAAGAAAAATAATTTCGATGAACTGAGGGTAAGAGCGAGGAAACATTCGAGGAAATACGTAATGTTATTTCGATTATAGGTATGCATTATTTGAAAATTATTTTCAGGAGTTTTGGAAGAAACTTGGTCAACTGGGGTTATTAGGAATAACAGTAAAACCCGAATATGGCGGTACAGGAGGTACATATCTAGATCATATTATCGCTATAGAGGATTCACAGAAATGGGACGGAAGAACAGAAGCAGAAATATCTACCAAAGGTAAATGTATACTTGACAGATATCTTGCTACATACATGTGTCCTACTTGGTATACACCTATGCATTCATTTAGGTATTTTATAGCTGTGTAGCGGAGAACATATTGGAGCACTCGCGATGTCAGAGTCGACATCCGGATCTGACGTAGTCTCTATGAAATTGCGAGCTGAGAAAAAAGGCGATTATTACATTTTGAACGGTCATAAATTTTGGATCACAAATGGTCCCGATGCTGACGTTCTTGTCGTTTATGCAAAAACGAATCCAAATGCGGCTAAACCGCAACACGGTGTTACCGCATTTATCGTGGAACGAGGTTTCGAAGGTTTCGATACAGGTGAAAAATTGGACAAACTCGGTATGCGGGGTTCAAACACTGGCGAACTTGTATTCGAGGATTGTAAAGTTCCTGGTAACTTTCTCTTCACATTACATATTAAATATTATTAATACTGTACTTACCTTACCATCGAACTTTATAATTTAGTGGTTTAGATTTGGAACGAGCAACCTTAGCAGCAGGTCCTTTAGGGTAAAATTCTCCGCTTATTAAAGTACAACATAATATTAAGATTAACGAACAATTATACATCGCGATATGTTATATATTAGGATTCTCCAGGCATGTTGCGACGTGGCATTCGACTATGCTCATACGAGGAAACAATTTGGAAAACGTATAGCAGAATTTCAACTGATACAAGTATGAAATTGTAGTTCTGTCACGTAAATGTTGTATTACAAAATTTCAAATATTAAAACAGTTGTTCACATTTTAGGAGAAAATTGCAAATATGTATACGAATTTAAGCGCCTGCAGAAATTACTTGTACTCTGTAGCTAGGTGTTGCGATGCAGGACACATAAGTGGGAAAGATTGTGCCGCGGTGATACTTTACATCGCTGAATGTGCGACAAACGCTGCGTTAGATGCCATTCAAATACTTGGTAAATTATTCACGATTTAATCACCCGTTTGACAGGTGTTTATTGATTTGAAAAATTTCTTTAAATTTATACAACTTTTCAGGCGGCAATGGTTATGTAAATGATTATCCTACTGGAAGGTTTTTAAGAGATGCGAAATTATACGAAATTGGTGCTGGTACCAGTGAAATTCGCCGAATGGTAATTAGTAAAGCTATTAGCCAGGAATATTCATGAATTGTTTTATATTTCTCGAAAGATTTACGTTATTACATCACTATTTTTGTAAAGAATGATAAATAAAGAAATGAATTTTACATGGAAATTACTTTTAATTTCCTTCGCTGATCAGTTCGACATTCAAACGGGCAATCGTTGTTAACGATCATCGATCTTGTCGATAGAACAAATCTTGACGATTTGAACAGGGGATTAATATTGCCAATCTGCATATCCATTTGACAGATATGTACGCACTTTCTTAGGATCGTGTAAATCGAGATAAATGAGTCACTAGAACGGCACAGTCTTAAAACTACGATTGACTAACCTTTCGCGCTATAGGTTGCTAATTTAAATCAAACTTACGTACACTCTCTTCCTCTCGGTTCATTTCAGGTACTCCCTTTTACTCTTTCTCTTTCTCTCTTGATTTAGTCTGATTAATCACACAGTGTAGCCAAACTAATTAAATCGAAACGAAACCGCATAGGGGAGAGAGAAGCTTTCGCGTTCGACTAGCAGGACGGTCATTTAGTGAAAGAAAAAGGAAAGTGCAACTAGCAGTATCGTGAATCGAAGATGTCCCTTAAGTTTTCCATAGGCAACTTTTACGAAACCTATGTGAGTATGTGTTATAGTAATCTGAAGACAGAGATTCTCTCTTCTTATCTTTTTTTTTTATTCAATCTCCTCTGTAATTTACGGTAGCATACTCTGACGGATTATGTTTCTCCTTGGTTAATTTCGATAAAAAGAAACCCATTGTAATTCACGAATGTGTTAATAAATTCTTTACGTGCAGTGTTTAATTTCGTACATTGATTGAGCGTCCGTCGTGAACGTTACCCGATTCCGCGTAGATATATGTACACAGTTGACAATTTAAAAGTGATACTTGTTTGTTGGACGGCGGGATTATTGGTGTGATCGCGATAGGCATAGGCAGTTGGTAAAAACAGGGAGGTCGTAAATGCCAGAGAAATGAGTGCAGGTCGGGCCAGAACAATACACATGGTATGCCAATTCGAAATGGGGCCAGAATAGCAGAAGCAACGGGCCGGTGGTAGTTGGGTAACTAAGCTCGCAGAAGTAAAGCCTGTCAAAATGAAGTGGCGGTGCAGCAGCCAGTAGTTCTCGTTTGCTAGTAAGGAGCATAAGCACGGTTTCGATATTGCTCCGACTAGCCGCAACATTTCCAACTTTCTCGAAGATTTATCAATTCCTTCCTCCTCTATACGTTCTATACGAGCGAAGCGAATCATTTCACGTTCGCCTATAGAGTATAGATTTCGTGGGTGCCCTTTCGATCTTTTCTGTGCCCGTTCTAAACACGCGATTGCGTTGTTGTGACAGACGGAGTAGAGCATGACGAAGAAACAAACTGTGATCGTGAAGCTTAAGAGATCCAGCTCCGGCAAACCTTGGGGAATACGTATCGCTGGAGGCGCTGATTTGGGTACGCCGATCGTCGTCACCCGCGTGAGTTCTTCTTTCATCCCATTTCTCCAAAGCCTACTCTACTTTTAAGCTTAAACGATTTGTGCCGATCGCCTACATCGCGTACTGTTACCGCCTACAGTTATTATTGGACGTAGATGCGGGAACACTGTGTCTGTCGGTGTAACACGGAAACAGCAGGGGATCTAGATTATTTTCTAATGTACACAAGCTCCTGCTTGCGCGCACCGATATATCTATTAAAATTCACCTCGTAAATTTTTCCCTGCAAATCGATTTCTATTTTATTCGAAAAGTAATCGACCACCAACCGATACCGATACCGTCACCACTCTATACCAACCACTCGTACAAAGAGCTTGTAGATAGTATGTACGTTAAATCATAATCGTATCCACCTGTCACGTGTAACCTAATCTTTATCTTGTGCTTTCTCTTTAACATGGCCTCTTTAACTATCGAACTTTCCAAAGTACATTTACATTCTTTCGTGCTAAATAAATTCGTGATACTTTGTACGATTGTTAACACAACTAATGCAACCACGCTGCTGTACGATCTTTAACTGTATATTACGAGATATATGTATATGTATATGTATATGTATATGATATTGAAACGATGATATTTGTATTTGTAGTCGGAGAACCAGGCACTCCAGAGGGGTGACGTGATCAAGAAAATCGACGATTACGACGCGCGAGACGTGAGGCATGTAGACGCCCAGACTCTTCTTCAAAACTCTGAATCTATAAGGCTCGTGATCGAAAGGTCTGAGCCGTCGAATGCATCTCGCATCAACATTACCACGTCATCTCCGATTATCAAGCCGAACATTGGCCACAGGGCTGCGGTCACTAGTCTGTCAGAAAACAATTTCACCTTTATTATTATTATGCGCTCGAGTTATCGCATTACTACCGCCGCGCAATTACCGCCACCTAACTTCACTATTAACGCTTCACAATAAACTCTTTCTTTCTTTTTTTTACATGCTTTAATCGCAGCGCCTGATTGACAGCTCACCGCATCAAGAAACTTCATCGTTACCTCGACAATCACTTTCTTCTTTTCCAGTTTCAATTCAACCCCCCGTCATTTTCACGTGCTACAAAATTAACAGAGTACATAATGCTTAAAATGTTTGAAAGTGATTGTCGAAAGTACGAGCATCGAGTCTCTCCTGAGAGGAATTCTTTTTATATTAATTCGTTAGTAAAGATGCTTTCCCATTCCGCTATAGAACCAGACAACCGAAAGTATATCCGACGGAATTACCCAAGAGTCCTGTACCGCCGCCTTCGTTCGACGATTACAGTCGGCCTACATCTCCACCGGAGCCCATTAACTTGATGCACGAACATCTCGACGAGATTCGCGAAGAAAAAGCCTATTTGTCGCAGGTACTTTCGATAGATTAATTAGACTTTGAAACGGGAACTCTACCACTGTGATAATAAACCGATTCAATTCACGTTCAATCTTCAGTTTTTCGCGTTAATTTCGATAACGGTTAAGTGTTTGCTCGCTTCAACCGTCCATTAACTTTAAAACAAGATACACAAAACAATTACTCTATAATTATATCGTTGTTTGAAGTTCGTGTGTAGGTAATCTCTTCGTTATTCCGATATCCGAATTTATGTTACATTTGAGAGCGAACCTGTCTACACGTGGTCGTTAGACACAGGTCTAATCGTTGGTTAAAACGCCGACGAGACTATTTGTTCATTCAACCCTGGCTTTCAAGTCTGGCTGCTAAACCATTCATTTACACGGTTGTCTTCACCACGTACATATTTCTCTGCCTTACGTCCGCGGTGATTTCACGATCATTTCCTACGTAATTATCGTAGCGGTGGTAACCAATTGTGAAATATTCGATTAGAATTTCAGCCAGGAGATCACGACCGGATAAGAATCGAGAAAAGTCAATGGTACATGTAAATTCATTGTGCAGATTCTACGATGACGCCTTTATTCGTGGGACGTTCCAAGTGTGAATATATTTTTGTTGGCCCGCCACGATGCCGGAAAGTCCACGCAGAGGCAGTTGCCACGCTATAAATATCGCTTTTGCATCGAAACCACCGCTCCGATCCAATACTACGCGATCCAGGACGATTTCGGAACACTATTTCGATCCTAGTCGTCGCTTCAGAACACACATATTCTTATCGTCCAGTCAACGTCCACTGCGACAATAAAATGTCCGCCTTCTTTTTCGATCGTTTCTTAAAATAAACAGATCGATTCCTAGCATCGATGTCCTATTTCCAAGGAAAATACATCATCCACTGTACTCGGTGTTTCGAGAAAGCGTGATATTAGTCCAAGGTCGGAAGATACATCAATCACTCAACACACACCACCTGATAGTTGTCGGTGTACAGAGGTGAAAAATTTCATGGAATATATGTATAGAAAGGAAGGGAAAACTAAATTGGACAGTGATTAGTTTAAACGGTAATTCGTATTTGAAACGAATATGCTGTAAAGCTTTCAGGTTTTGGTCCAGATCCAAACGTGACACAATCGATTAAAAATACATAGAAGCGGTAGTGGAAGACTAAAGATAGAAAAAGAAAAAAAGAAAAAATGAAATAATTAAGGAACGAAATGGGATGAGTGGTGTACATAAGAAGTAATTAGGTAGAGAAAAAGCGGAAGAGGAACGATTGCGAGAGATGGCAAAGAGATCGTATAGTGAATCAAGAGGGTTAAACCTTTGGGGCGATCGAGATACATACGTCGGTAATACGGGAGAGGAGAAGAAAGAGCGCGAGAGGAGTCGCGTGGAAAAGACCAGAGTTAGTGCCGCCCGCGCAACGAGACAGTGAACGTTAGCGAATATTCGTAAGGGAGAGATCTACGATAGAAAAGAATTTACGCGAAGTAGGTTCACGGTGAAAAGGAGAGAGGAAAGGAAGAGAAGCGAAAGCGATTCTTGGTGGAGAGTGTCACTTCCAGGAATACGAACGTGAGCTTCGATTAGGAAACGATGCCGGCTTATACCACCGTTTACCGTCACAACATCGAACAGCAGCCGAAAGAGGAGGAGGCTGCCGTGTATTGGGTACGAAGTCGTATAAAATGCCAATTAACCGAAATGTACTCCATATTTTCCGTCGAATATCGATCATTCACCACCCCCGCTCGATGTCGCAATATTTCACGGAATTTCTCTTCCAATTCTAGTTCAACTTATTAGTTCATTTACAACGTACAACATCGATATTATAGCTTTTCCATCTTTCGAATGATCTACCGATGAAATCAATCAATGAAATTCTCACGAATCGATCGTAACTGTAAAATCTGAATGAACCGTTGATATGGAACACACGTTACACCTTTGTAAGATGATCTAGATTTGGAATTACGTCGTGTGCCAACCTTGACACCTTCCGTAAAAGTAGGGCTAGGTCTTGAATCTATCCCAATGCCACGCAGTAATGGAGAAAGAAGCAAATTCTCGTAAGATTCGCAACGAGGCCGTGCATATACGAATGCAACGATAGGAAAGATGATAGAGTTGAATGTAAAGAATTCCACCGCGAGTATGGCTAACTAATAACACGATGCAATAAAACGCATGTAGGCACGTTACGGGCTGTTCATTGGTATCTTATTCTATTTTCGTAAATGAGATCTGGGTTACTGAAACTACACAAGAGGGTCGTACGACGACACTCCCACAGCTTCTCCTCTTCATCTTCCAAACCGGTTATCTCGTTAAAAATTTCTTTTGTCAACGTTCGAATAACGAAAGAACGTTTTGTCAACGACAATACCGAAACTGAGGAAAAAGTACACAGACGCTTGATGCGAATACAAAAATAAGAAAGGAAGAAAGTTCGTTAGAATTTAAAAGGCACTTTCATACTGTGATAACGTATTGAAACATTTGTTATGGTTCGTACGTTGCCAGAAAATTCTAGAAGGTTTTCTTATTGTTAGAGTTCAAGTTTCAGCACGCCTGTACCGAGCGCAGCAATAAACACTTTTCGAAACAACCGTGTGTTTCACCGTGTCTGAATTTAGTTCGGGGACGTTTTACGAAATGTCGTAGAAGCAACTGGTTCCTTCTTCCAAAAAAGCTATTGTTTCGTCTACGAATAGAATAGAATAGGTATATACGACAGGTGGAAGAATGCCCATCGAGATCTTGGAATTTTTTTCTTTGGACAGAAAGCTGAGGAAAAATAGATAAAAATTGACAAGCGCGACGGAGAAAGGTCTCGTTGCAGACACGGGGGTACACGTTATTTTTGCCGGCTAGGGGCCTTCGTCTATTTCGAGAGAGACACAGTTGCCCACCCTGTATAATAATCTTTCTGATCCATTTACAATGAAATAGTTGTAATCGATGTTCGACGCGAAATCCATAGTTGCATCGATCTAGTTAAACTCTTGCTTCGTTCCGTTGGTGGCAAAGCCGATGATGACTGGACTCAAATTCGATCTTCTATTATTGCAAGCATGTCTTATAAATACAACGCGTAACTTTATCCTGCTGTTCACCATCTTTCTACATCGCCTCCTCCATTTGACATTCTCGACTTCGTTATATTTCGACAATCCGACGACATCCGATCGAAGACCATCAACATCATAGGTAAACATTAAAGATCCTGCATCTCCGTGGTCCATGGTTTTCTCTCGTAGTTTCTCCACCCATCGCTCGTCGTCACCGTTTCAGCGCAAGTCCAACAATCGTATTTTTAATAATTTCGTAATTCCACGCATAGCGCATAGCGAGTGATACGTAACGTAATGCCATCGAATATTTGGCAAACGCTTTGTTCATAACGCTGTTACTACGGTTTTATGCAATTTTCTCATTGTGCAGATATACGAGCCAAGAACCGGAAATTTTAGCCGTCTTATAGCTTTCATTCGAGGTTGGTTGTATGCAGTCACCGAACAATATATCCTATAGCGCGCGTTTGCTTCCGGTTTTCAAGAAGTTTCGCTAAAAATATCACGAACGTTGTTGCTTCAACTCGAGGATTATTATCGTCGCAAAAAGCAATTAAACACAGATAGCTGTGTGTTTTTGATTAAAAAAAAAAAAGGAAATTCAAAATGTAAGCTCACCGATATCGCCCGATTTATTTTTAGTTTGCATTTATAGATGCAAGCAGTAGCTATATTACAACACGCTACACTGTCGAAAATTAACGAGGTATCATCGATCACCATGGCCTCTTAATAGAGGCTTATTTTAGGATTTCGTTAGTTGGTAATTGACATCGTTCTGGCAGAACATTCCACGCCTACTTAGCTTATTAACGAACCTTCAACCTGGGCACACACAATTCGTTAATTATTCGTTATTTCGAGGGGAAAAAAAAAAAAAAAAAAAAAAAGATTAAGTAAGGCTACATGATCTTAACTTAAGATACGTAACAATTGATTTTTTAGCCGTACCGCACAACTCCTCTGGTTTTGCCAGGTGCAAAGATCAAAAAGGATGCTCCACTCGGAGAGTGCTACTTGCGCCATCATCCAAACCCGATGATCAGAGCGGCACCGCACCACTACGAACCGGCTCATCCGGAAGTTGCTATGAAACAAAAGGTAGTGTACGCCTTGCTCATTCTTAATACGTAAATCCTTTAATCGCGAAATATTGCCCTACGAGTAAGAAACGCTGAAACAATAGGAAAGAATTAAAAAAAAATATTAATTTGTAAATATATTTTATACGACGTCTGATTAGGTGGCAGAATCGGTACTTCAACGTATCTTGGGACCGAATGAAGTTCCAAAGGTTTGGATAATATTATTCTCAAAATCGCTTCCCCGCTTTCACACCAACGATGCTTCCGCTTTGAACAAGAATACGATCATTTACGATCATTTACGATCATTTACCTTTTAACCGCGGAATTTCTTCGGGATCTTTTTTACGAGTGTCAGCCATAATGTAGCATGCGATGCGATCAGTATTCAGTTGCTAATTAACCAGCCAATGGTTTTTCGATCGTTTCTTCGAAAAACTTCGTTTCACGTATTGGGTATATACATATCACGTGTTCGGAGAACATTTTTGTAACCCAACCCGTTGCCACGGAGGAACGCTTTGGACCTCTCTTACTGCAACAAATTTCATTCACACGATATGAATAAAACAAGTCACAAATACATACATATGTAGATGCTAAAACGTTATCCAGTAACTTTTACACGCATCATTTAGTACAGTAAATTGCAATGTTTAAACTAATATCCTAAACGTGTTCAACGGTAAACTTATGGCTTACTTTAGGAAATTGGAAACACGTTGTAAGCAGTAAAAAAAAAGTGATGTGTTCGAAGACGAAAAAAAAAAAAAGAAGTATCAATCGTAACATTTTCATTGAATTTTCTTCTACAACTACAGGAATGAGCACTTATTTTTTCGTTTAAATTCACTCTTAGGTTGTCCACAAGCAATTTAACTCGCCGATTGGTCTCTACTCCGAACAAAATATCGCCGATACCATTAAGTGTCAAGCATCAGCCATACCGTAAGTAAAAAAAGAAAAAAGAAAGCCAAGTTTTTAGAAAAGAGGTTAATACGTCGCACAGCTTGCAGTAGCATAATAAAATTACTACTATTAATACTATTGGATTTTTGCTGAATGCTGCTACTTATCAAACTCTAATTAACTCTGAGCCGTTGTAATCTTGACGCCATTAACTAACGGACATTTTGAAATTATCGATATACATGTTAATTTCGATGTTCGATTTTCGAACCACGATACATCGATTTCCGACCATATACCGTATATGTATATCAATGTCGCTGTTGAAATTTCGAAAGAAAGCATGAGACGATTACTAATACACAACTAGAGCTGCATAGACAAAATTTTTCGATTCGAAAGAATGATCTACATTTGAAGCGTAAGGGACTGTCATTTTGTTGGCGATAAATTGTCGGGGACGTGATCACAACCACAGCTCAGTTCTTATACTGTCGTTTCTTGCTGAAATAGATAACACTCACGTGCAGTTTGTTTGTTTTCCAGCATTTTCATAGACTTTTCCTTCGTGAAACAGAAACAGGAAATACAGGAGCAAGCGAGAATGTTGAAAGAGCAGGCCAAGGCTGCCACCTCGAAGAATGTCTGGCCGCAATTCAATAAACCAAATTAATATTCAGTTCGAGACGTTTTTCGATGCTTCTCGCACAGCATATCCCTAGCTCCGAAATTCTACGATTCCTACGTAGTAGATCATTGGTCACGTTCTTGTCTCGGAATCGTTCTTCTTAAAGTTACGTGTGTGTGCCATTGATGAAAATAATATTCGCGATATAGTAAAGACAAGCTTCGTTCTTGTTTGCCTATTTTTTCAAATCGAATCGAATCGAATTAGATCGAACGTGGCCATTGAACTGTGATCGAGTTCTCGATAAGCGTGCGATAAAGTGTTTACTCATTCGAATTCTATTGCTTTGCAGATTACTATCTATAACTGATACTTAGGATCGTGATACAATTATATTGCAGTTTGTTGTAGTGATCTCGAGTAGAATTGATAAAAACGTCAGGGAAAATTAGACAGTAAATCTCTAAAGAAGTTTGTACAATAACAATACTATACATATATTTGCATGCTGTAGCATTGAAAGTAATCAATAATTAATCATAGTAAACGTACGTGCAAATTAGTAGCCTTGCTAATTTTAATGCTAATGTAATTAGAAAATCCTCGAGAATTACAAATCGTAATTAGTAATCTGATAAGTAATTATCAATGTCCGTTCGCAATATTATATGGGATAATACGGGAGATAATATGACAAGAGTATAATTCTCGAGGAAAGGCATTAAAGATCTAGTTGGGACGTATTTGTGACTCGATTAATGAAAAGGGCATGGAAGCGGTCCGAAAGTCGCTCTCGAACAAACAATTTGGCGATATAACCCTGGCTGCTGCGCTAACCGATCTGACAAAATCGAGGCAAATGAATTAAAAATAGTCCGTATGTATACATGCGATACAATGGTACAGCCTGAAGAAACCAACCAAGTACGACCCGAGTAAGAGTGAGGCTTACAAGGCTTTGCAAGAGGAAGCTCTCGGCGACACAGTACAGGAAGTGAAACAAGCGGCGCGCACCGGTGTTTTCTCTCCGCAAAAAGTTAATCAAAATAGGGTATGGCATCGAATAATTCAATTATTCCCGTTTATACCAAAAGTTGTCCTCTTTTTTTTTTTCTGTTTTAAATAATCCAATGTTTTCAGGTATACCAGGCTCGACCAAAAAGTCCTGCTGGACCGTACGTGAGTAGAACTTTGAATATTTTAATTTTACGTTCGTTTCTCCCTTTCGTACTTTCTGATCGCATGAATTGCACGCATCAAATATCATTTCGTTCAATACACTTAAATACTATTTCTATTAACATTTCGTATCAGAATTATGATAAATTAATAGCAGACCTTTATTTGATTAAGGGTGGAAATTATAGACGTCCCTTCCCTCTCTCTTTTATAAAGGATCGCATCAACGACTACTAAAATTTACTCCGACTTGTACGTGTAATTTGTGTATTTGCACGCATACATTTGCTAATACGCACACATCGTCCTGTGACGAAAACAGAAAATTGCATACCGTGCATCGCTAAACCATGAATGCTGTACTATACCTTTTTAATTCAAATGTTTTAAACTAAAATCAATCCTAAGGAACAGATTCGTTTTTAGTATCTTCAACGTATGCCAAGCATTTGCAGAATTCATTAAAGTTACTGCTTATTTCGATAACAAACAAAATGTATTATTCCATTTTAGGTAAATACTCTTGAAGACGACGGTGAAAAAATCCACCAAAGTAACAGCTTCAAGAGGATCATGTATAGTGTCCTGGGACAA